TCGGAGCTGTTGCTACCAGGCCAGGTCGCAGMGCCGTTGTTGGCTGCAACTTGGAACCCGGTCATGATCGCAAGATTTCCCAGATTATCGATGGTTGTTGTAAGAGACCCGAGCCTACAGTTCAGGCAGGAGTAAGTCAGAGTCCMACCCAAGAGTTATATAGCTGTTGCGAGCAATGCAGAGCGCATGATGCACGAAGCAGATTCCATGAGACGGGATCTTGTTGCATCATTCTGGAACCGGTCTTCTGCATCGCGCTTTTGGAGTTTCCGGAGTCACGATCCAGCAAGCGCGTAAGTGGTGAAATATTCAGAAACAAGCACTCGTTGATCACGTGTTCGATTGACACTTGGCCTTACCCCTCCAGGCTTTTGTTCCCCGATTCTGGTTCCCGATCGCGTTTCCGGGTAGCCCTTTCTGGAATCCGTATCTGGAGGCGCGCGTCTACCAGGTCGCATAAAAGCTCTCCTACATAACAATAAGCTAATGCATTGACCACTATATTTTGGTGCGTTTGAGTAATGCCCCAACCTTCAGGGTAGTAACATTCTACGACATCGAACCTAGTGCTCCATATCTCTCGGGCGGATGTTGTTGGCGAAATTTCCAAGACGACGATATATGACGAATTTCGCGAGTCCTAATTGAGGCCCCGACGCCGTGTGGCCTTGATCTGGCTCGCAACCAGTCAACAAAAGTGGAATGTACCACGGACAATGGAGCGTGGAAACGCTTGATTGGCAGACGAATTTAGCGTGCCCCAGTGACGTGTACGGCGCTAAGAAATGTGAAGATCGCAATCAAACATTCAGCAAGCCCGCATGCGTAACTTCCCAACGCAATCTCAAGGCTCCGGGTCAAAGCTGCGGCAATAACAATGATGCATAGGCTACTTAAAAGGCCGAACCCAGTCAAGGATCGGCAGCATCGCTATATGTGTCGTATTGTAGTTCTCTAGGGTTAAGGTAAAGCATGAGAGTTATGTCTGTGAAGTTTGGGGTGTTTTTCACTCACTCGTATGAATGGACAAATCCAACTCTTCTTAGAAAGGCTAAACCGTCTCTGTCAACACCATTCTGCCAGTAGTATTTGAGCATTGATGGCAGCCATTCATAGTCCAATCGTTGCTGCGAGAGCCCATACAGTTGGGCGCTTATTTCTCATGCACCGAGAGTCAAGTCCTGCAGCGTATATAAAAATAAATTTACTAAAGCAATATTTTAGGCCAACTTGCTGGCATGCCAGTGTGCCAAGCTTTTGCCAAGCCCCTTGGCGCTAAGATGTCAAATAAGGCCTCTACTATTTGGCACCTGCTAAGGTCCCTATTCAGCTTCTCTGTACTCTTATCTGAGGTCGCCATATAGAAGGCCCACTCACCTGATCATCGCCCAATAGCCTGAGCAAGCCTCAGCGCTTATTCAACCAGTACCCGAGAATTCGGCCGCGGAGTCGGGTTACATTGACTTTAGAAAGATGCAAGAAGAAAAGCAACACTATCAAAAACAGAAGTACTGTGTATAAATTCTAGCTGGTTTCCTATCCAGGTGAAGAAAACTAGTAGTCTGTTATTTAAACCTGTTTCAAGATATTACAGTCATTTATTGATTTCCTCGTACTCTTTAGAGCATCATGAGCATTCGCGAATTCTTGCTAAGGATTATCGGTGTTGGGGAGACTAAGTGGGGAATGATATGGTTTATGTTGGCTATTTTTCGTAAGTCAAAATCCTTATATCCTCAGCCAACTAAGACAAGATTAATACTAACAAATTGGTAGTAAGCTTTATTGGTAACATAATTGTGCTTATCGGCTGCATATCACCCAGCACCCAACCTATCTTCTTGTTCCGTGTCGGGAGTAGTGAATTCGTCGCTGCAACTGCCAACTTGACTGGTATCCCAACAAACAAGCTCCAAATCGATGGACTTCCAAATGACTGGTACTATGGACTTTCGGGTAAGACTTCGGCCTTTGCTGCGTTACAGTTCACTAAACCATTCTTCTTTCAGGTATGTGTGTCATTCACAAGGACACTGATGCGAGAGTGTCGTGCAAACCAGCTTTTCCACCGGTGATGAGTATCGAAGAAATGATCTCTTTTGCCTTTGAAGTTAAGCTTGGAAGAGATACAAATTCTTCAGTCATCAAGGAAAAGATGTCGCCGTGGATCACTGCACTCTCTCGAATTGAAGACAAGCTTGCCGAGCCCTCACGTGTCAAGGCCCTCTGGCAGGGTGCCGCAGCGTTTAGTATTATTGCAACCCTTCTGTCTTCTGCTCTACTTGTCCTCACGGCGCTCTATTTTAGCATCCTGCGTGACAATCTACGTCGCTGGATGCTCTATGTTGTCGCTTTTGTTGACGCTATGACATTTCTCGGTGCAGGTTTGATGGTTGGGCAGGCTATGCGTGAGGGACCAAGAGGCATCATAGAACTTGCGGGGATTCCTTCGGAAAGAGGAATATATGGGGCAGGTAATACTGTTTTCACTCTCGGTGTGCTAATCAATTTCTTGTCCATAGAGGTGTTTCTGTTTCTTTTCTTTTTAGGCGCAATTCTTGTTTTTTGGCTTGTATGGGCTTGTCTAAACATGTGCCGGGATGATAATAAGACCGAGGTTAGGGTTGAGTACATTCATATGGAAAGCTAACACTATCGCACGATTGCACTATCTGCTCCAAGAACCCGGCAACATAGTCACGTTTATGGGACTAGGACTGTTTTCTGGGGGGTGTGCAAAGGGACTCCTTTTCATCAGTGAAAAGCTTAGAGAACACTGGTGGAGGTACAACAGTATTAGCATAGCAAGCAGTGGTAGTCTAGGAGTGAATGAAACAAAAGAATGTTTTATGTTATTATAGGTAACAGATATCCGCTATGTATTGAACAATTGGACTCCTTCGGGACATGGCCTTTTTAAGATACGGTACCTCTCGTTCCCGGCAACAATCGCAAGATCAGCTTGGATATCAAGCCGGATCCCGTCCTCTCATTTCAGATCACAAAGCGAAACGCCCGAGCCAGATATCTGAGCCAAGGCAGAGATACGAACGACAGCGCAGACATTTTTGAAAGACGCTTCGAGGAGTTTGAGCTGGAGACTGTCCCTGTAAAGGAAGGGTACCGAAAGCGTGGTATCTTGGTATCGGTAGGTTCTCGACTGCCTTTAATTGAGCGAGATATATTCATGTCTGCAGATTGATGTTAATGGAACGAATGGTGACAACATGGAGCCTCTGACTGAAGCACTCGAGCAGCGTGGAGGATGGCAGAAGCTACAGAGACATGTAGAATGACGGACACATTCATTTTATACCCGTATTGGGATCGTGGCGCTGTGGTCATTTCGGAGGCCTAGGCGTTGGGTAAATGGCGAAAGGCCTCTGTGTGACTTTAGCGCTGCCATTTCCCTGGTTATAGCGCGGGGGTTCCTCGTTTTGGGGTCACTCACAGGTTTTAAATGGTCTGAAGTGCAAGCAATAAGTATAGAGCAGACTTTTCGAATCAAGAGACGAAGCATCTAGACTAACTGCTGAATCTTTGGAAGCCTGGAGAAGAGAAGCCAAATAGTTCATCAAGCGGTCTGGCGTAGGCATGAGGATCAGTTTTGGCCGCCTATTATCCTGTAATGGTTTGCGCACTCGGACATAGCATATCCTCACAATGGCCACTTTACTTTCACGCGACCCTTTGGTTTTGCACATTGATCTAATCCTACAACTAAGGTTACGGATAGGAGCGGCATTATTAATCATATCGGGAACTGGAGGAATCTGTACCACTAATCTGCATGTACGCCAACGGACCTATTTTGGAAGTTGCTGCTTTGAATCCGGGGATATGACTCTGACTGTAAGCTCATAGGACTTCAAAGAGGGCTTCAAAAGATAGATAGACGATGGTATTTAGCTCAGATAGAGCCTCCTCTGTTATATGTTGGACTATGATACTGGGCACAGTGTATGTATTCCAATCACTGGATAGCAAATTGTTAGAGCTCTCCCACTCGTTAATATTAAAGGTCAGCCCAAGTCGCGGATAAGGGACTTGATGGAATTTTGATGCCCTATCGAAAAGCCTAACATACCACACTATTAACGTCTATTATTTGATTCGGTAGAGTCGCTATCCGCTGTCGTTCAGCTCGTGTACCGCTGATGAAGCTCTCTTAAAGACCAGGCAGGCGTTTATATCACACCCCATCCATATCCCTATACCACCCGTGTCCCTGGTCACATGCGTGTATGGCCTCTTGGAATTGCTGATTGGGTGACTTGGAGAGTGTGCATATATGCCTCGGGTCTATACCTGCGACCATAGTGCGTAGCTTGATGCTCATGGCAGATGCTATTCGTTTAGCCCAATAGTATTAAAGCACTCCTTGCCTCGTTTAACGTACATCCCACCCATCTTGATGTCCCCCCACCCAGAACAGCATCATGATATTAAACCCTCCCACGATCCTTGAGCTTGGTACAATAGTGCACTTGCAGACCGGAGCCGCCTCGTTTAAGGAAACGTTCAGCGAAACGCCGACGAATTTTCACCCACCCAAGCTGCTTCTCTTCTTTCAGTTGTATGAGAAAGTTGTCTTCGGCGTCTGAGTACTTTTCCCCTCTTACAGGAGCCGGCTTGGTTGCTTTTTTTGCTGCGACCGAGCGGGTTGCACCAGAGCTCACACGGGTGGCATGTGGATGATTTGGGCAAAGGGGCCACTCAAACTGGAATTGAAACGTAGTCTTGCCATTTTCGGTAATGCGTTTCATTGAAACATTCTTGAACTGCCATTCCTGAAACTGAGCAAGAAACGCACTGGCATCAGAGGGAACAGATCTTGCATGTGATGATGCTCGACTGAACAAGCCGAGTGCCGACGTGTCATGCTTCCTCAATGAGTGTGCGACAGATCTTGTGGATCGTTCTCTTCGGCAAGAATCCTGGACACTGATGGGGTACTGCGAACCGAGATGCAAGGAGATCCAGATGCCTTGCGACGTTTGTGACAATGCTGTTCATCATCGGAGTCGTCTCCACAACCATGTCCCTGATTTGGTGAAGGGTAATAGTCCTCGTCACGCGCGCATTCTGGTATATCGAAATCATCCCCACTGCCAGAGCCTTCAATATCTACGTCTTTGTCCTTATCTTGCACCGTTTCATGTGTATGTGAGGACCTGCGACGAGAACGGCGCCGGGGAGGCAACTCCTGAGATGGGGGTCGGGCTCCAAATGGCGATCTGGGTTCAGCCTCTGAAGACTCGGACTTAGCATCGCTGGATTCGTAGCTGGTCAGGTCGTAATCTTGCTCGTGTTGCAATTCGGGTGACAGGTTTTTCGCGGGGAATGGAGTGTGGGCTCTAGAAATGGTATCATCGCGCGATGTGCTCGCACCCTCTTCGCTATCGTGCAACCGCGTGTGAACCAGATCTCCAGGGTCTGTAGCAATATGACTGTATGTGTGCATCAGAGGGGACGTAGTAGTACTCTGTGCACCATCACTGGAACGTTCGTCAGAGAGAGCATCGACCATCACGATGTATGGCTCACTGGTGGCTCCGGTGACAAGCTGTTGTTCTTTTGACATGCACCGATGTGGCTGACTCCCAGGGCTAGTAGACGAGATGCCAAAACCGGCATTCGTACATGCCGTCGCATCTTCAGCGGACGTGCGATTCGTCTGATAAGGAGATTGTTGATTCGGTTCAGGATCAGCAAGGGGGCCCATATGTGAGTTGTGTCTCCAATTTGGGTCGTCCTCTCCTAGTGAAGTATATTATTGTAAGCCGTTCTGTCCCATCGCAGCCGATTTATAAGTGCTGACCCATTACTCATAAACGACTAGCCAAGCCTGCTGCTACCACGACAGGTGGAGCCTGGTAGGGGCGGGGTTGATGAGCCYCAGCACATCTAGATGGTGTACTAAGCAGTATGTATAGAGCTTACAAGGCGATTTTTAAACTCAGTAATTCCGTTCTGTGTCCCCCTAGGCTTTCTTCAGCTCATGGGTTATTGGTT